GAAGGGTGGAGGGGGTGAAGGGAGGGCAAGGGAAAGGGAAAAAAAATAAGAACCAAGAGACTCATGTAATGGTACAAGATCCCAATGATGAATGTAACTATTGTATACCTAAAATGTACCAATAAAGTTAATGGGGAAAAAAATAAAAATAATAGAGTTCTTAAAAAGCAAATCTGAGTTTAATGGGAAATAAAAAATAAACTTTTGGCATCCCAAAGGATTAAATATTTTTCTCCCTCTAAATATTGACCCATTTATTGTTTCTACATAATGATTAATATTGGGATGTGATGAAAACATACCACAGGTCACTGACATTTGAAAAGTTTACACTAAACTGTTAGTCAATTAATGCTAGGTTTCCTCTATCATAAAAGAATAAGGGCTGTCAAGATATTTTTTTGTGGAAATGAAGAGGGCACTCATGTTTAACAAAATATGTACAAATAAAAAGAATGAGAAGTTTGGAGCAAAAACAAATGGTGCAATGCCTCTTATTTGTCCTATTTTATTTTAATGAATTTTGTTAAAATTCTCTGCTCATTAATTGCAATAGTCATTCAATAACAAAGTTCTAAACTTTGAGCTGAAAACTCCTCACTTGTAAAACTTAATTAATAATCCTCTCCTTGCACTCTCATAAAGGGCATTGTATAAAACATCAGGCATCTATTATGTTTTGAAAATTGAGCTATAAGGACTTTTTTCATAATTAAAATATTCTGATTTAAGAAACACTAGCATGGCTCTAGAATGTGTCCCTTCCATCTGAACATGCAGCGGAGATCCCCAAATGCCATGACAGAGAAGTTCCCCTGGGCAGTACCATAAACCATCCTAAGCAGGGCCAACCAGGATTCCAAGATTTGCTAACTGCCAAGGAGAATAGCCCACAGAATCTATTAGGGGGATTTATTAGGTTTGCAATATGTTCTCACAAAGGACAGCAAGACAAGAGATGCTCAGTCTAGTTTTGCCCTGCACTGTGATGGGGGGAGGGGGACCTATGTACTTTGAGTGAGGACTTAAGGAATTAGGCCTAGGGCCAGGGCTAGTTTGGATGCATTTAGCAATATATTGGATTTTGGGGCACAATCTAAACAATATTAGGTTATCAGTGCCTGGTGATATCTAAGGCCTTGGCTTGGTTTAAGCCCACAGGGAAAAACATGCAGTGGAGAGCCATCATCATGGAGACTTTCTGTGTCACTTGGCCAGGACAAAGGAACATGCAGAGGGAACATGGGAATCCTATAACACAATATTTTCTCTTCTTGTTCATAATTTGTTTCATTTAATTCAATGCTGTTGTTTCCTCTACTAGGGGTTACACTGCTGCTGCCCCAAGGGAGAGTACCTGGAGGACATACTTGCCCTAGCAGAGAATACTCTTTGGGGTGATGTGCAATCCTAAGGACACACACGTTCCATGGACTGGAAATGTATTTTTTCTTATTACTGGTTGTTGTTTTGCAATCTAAACAACTCCTAAACACTTCACCTAATGTCACATTGATGTAGAAGACATAGATTTACAAAAATAGCACCTATGTACATATAGTAATTAGGACATTATGGAAGACTTTAGAGGAAACGTCTTACTAAAAATAAGTATTTAACACCTTGAGAAAATGTCAAGGCATTTCATGATTCCAAATTTCACCTAATAAATCTCATCAAGCATCAATGTCAAACTATAAGTACATCTTTGAAACTATGCACTTTATTCTTTTTCTCCCAAGATCTCCCAATGACAAGCACCAGAATGAATTTTATGAAATCTTGTACTGCAAAGAAGCAAAATAATGTATTGCAGCATATCAAACAGCCCAGTACCATAGGATTAAAAGAGTGCATGTCACAACAAATAACAGCAATTAAAAAGTTGTTTAATTGAAAGTTCAATCTTTCTCTTTTAAAATACAGCTTGCTAAAACTTAATGAAATACAGAAATGTGTACAAACATTTTTACAGCATACATTACTTGGAAAAAATAACAACAGCATCCAGCAAGAAATGATGACCTTCATGCCTGGGGTCGTATAGTCTGTGTTGCCTTCTTGAAGGCTTCCTTGACATCTTTGTTTCTCACGCTGTAGATGAGAGGGTTGAGCAGTGGGTTGACCACAGTGTAGAATAAGGCAGCCATTTTGTCCTTCTCCAGGGAGTAGCTGGAACTTGGCCTTGAATACATAAAGAGCAAGGATCCATAGAAGAGCATGACTGAGACCAAGTGAGAGGCACAGGTGGAGAAAGCCTTGCGCCTGCCTGAGGCTGAGCGGATTCTCAGGATAGCCAGGAGGATGTTGAAATAGGAAATGAGGATGACAAGAAGACAGGAGAGGACAGTGAAGCCCACCACCCCCAGGAGGACTTTCTCATAGACCCGAGTGTCTGTACAGGACATCTTTACTAATGGTGGAGCATCACAGAAAAAGTGGTCAATGATGTTTTGACCACAGAAATTCAACCGGAAAGTGTTGGCAGTGTGGGCTATGGCATTCAGCAGCCCTCCTGTGTAGC